AATTACCAAAGACTTTTGGACAGAATGATTGTTATAATGAAAAGAAAGAAAGAAAGAAAGAAAGAAAGAAAGAAAGAAAGAAAGAAATTCAAGTGATACAGAAGACATTAACATATGAACATTAGCATGAATTACCAAAGACTTTTGGACAGAATGATTGTTATAATGAAAAGAAAGAAAGAAAGAAAAGAAAGAAAGAAAGAAAGAAAGAAATTCAAGATACAGAAGACATTAACATATGAACGTTAGCATGAATTACCAAAGACTTTTTGGACAGAATGATTGTTATAATGAAAAGAAAGAAAGAAAGAAAAGAAAGAAAGAAAAGAAAGAAAGAAATTAAAGTGATACAGAAGACATTAACATATGAACATTAGCATGAATTACCAAAGACTTTGGACAGAATGATTGTTATAATGAAAAGAAAAAGAAAGAAAGAAAGAAAGAAAGAAAGAAAGAAAGAAAGAAATTCAAGTGATACAGAAGACAATAACATATGAACATTAGCATGAATTACCAAAGACTTTTGGACAGAATGATTGTTATAATGAAAAGAAAGAAAGAAAGAAAGAAAGAAAGAAAGAAATTCAAGTGATACATATATTAACATATGAACATTAGCATGAATTACCAGAGACTTTTGGACAGAATGATTGTTATAATGAAAAGAAAGAAAGAAAGAAAGAAAGAAAGAAATTCAAGTGATACAGAAGACATTAACATATGAACATTAGCATGAATTACCAAAGACTTTTGGACAGAATGATTGTTATAATGAAAAGAAAGAAAGAAAGAAAGAAAGAAAGAAAGAAAGAAAGAAAGAAATTCAAGTGATACAGAAGACAATAACATATGAACGTTAGCATGAATTACCAGAGACTTTTGGACAGAATGATTGTTATAATGAAAAGAAAGAAAGAAAGAAAGAAAGAAAGAAAGAAAGAAAGAAATTCAAGTGATACAGAAGACATTAACATATGAACATTAGCATGAATTACCAAAGACTTTTGGACAGAATGATTGTTATAATGAAAAGAAAGAAAGAAAGAAAGAAAGAAAGAAAGAAATTCAAGTGATACAGAAGACATTAACATATGAACATTAGCATGAATTACCAAAGACTTTTGGACAGAATGATTGTTATAATGAAAAGAAAGAAAGAAAGAAAGAAAGAAAGAAAGAAAGAAATTCAAGTGATACAGAAGACAATAACATATGAACGTTAGCATGAATTACCAGAGACTTTTGGACAGAATGATTGTTATAATGAAAAGAAAGAAAGAAAGAAAGAAAGAAATTCAAGTGATACAGAAGACATTAACATATGAACATTAGCATGAATTACCAAAGACTTTTGGACAGAATGATTGTTATAATGAAAAGAAAGAAAGAAAGAAAGAAAGAAAGAAAGAAAGAAATTCAAGTGATACAGAAGACATTAACATATGAACATTAGCATGAATTACCAAAGACTTTTGGACAGAATGATTGTTATAATGAAAAGAAAGAAAGAAAGAAAGAAAGAAAGAAATTCAAGTGATACAGAAGACATTAACATATGAACATTAGCATGAATTACCAGAGACTTTTGGACAGAATGATTGTTATAATGGAAAGAAAGAAAGAAAGAAAGAAAGAAAGAAATTCAAGTGATACAGAAGACATTAACATATGAACATTAGCATGAATTACCAAAGACTTTTGGACAGAAGGATTGTTATAATGAAAAGAAAGAAAGAAAGAAAGAAAGAAAGAAAGAAAGAAAGAAAGAAAGAAAGAAATTCAAGTGATACAGAAGACATTAACATATGAACATTAGCATGAATTACCAAAGACTTTTGGTCAGAAGGATTATTATAATGAAAAGAAAGAAAGAAAGAAAGAAAGAAAGAAAGCAAGAAAGAAAGAAAGAAAGAAAGAAAGAAATTCAAGTGATACAGAAGACTATAACATATGAAGGTTAGCATGAATTACCAAAGACTTTTGGACAGAATGATTGTTATAATGAAAAAAGAAAAGAAAAGAAAAGAAAGAAAGAAAGAAAGAAAGAAAGAAAGAAAGAAAGAAAGAAAGAAATTCAAGTGATACAGAAGACTATAACATATGAAGGTTAGCATGAATTACCAAAGACTTTTGGACAGAATGTTTATTATAATGAAAAGAAAGAAAGAAAGAAAGAAAGAAAGAAGGAAAGAAAGAAAGAAAGAAAGAAAGAAAGATATTCAAGTGATACAGAAGACTATAACATATGAACATTAGTATGAATTACCAAAGACTTTTGGACAGAATTATTATTATAATGGAAATAAATAAATAAATAAATAACTAAATGTTTTCATTGTACAAGACAGACAATTTCCTCAGTATCTTGAATAATGACAGGAAGGAATAACACTTATAATTGGTCAAGGTCTCTGAAAGAAGATCAACAACAACAACAACATTTATTGTTAGCATTCTGTGACACTATTGAAAAGGCGCTAGTAAATTGAAAAACACTAACTTCTGATAAACTGAAGATATACCAATGACCAGACGAAGGAATATGAAAGAAGGGGAATATTTGTTTCTAACTGAGAAAAAATTAGAAGACCGAAAAACAATAAATTCTGATAGAGTGAAGATATACTGATGACCAGTGGAAGGAGAGGATATTTTTTTTATTGGGAAAAAAACTTGAAGGTAATTAAATTTCTCGTCTGCCATAGAGGTAAAATAAAGAGACCATCTGGTTTCAATTAGAACTGAGACTACGTGACAAGCTATTTTGGAGGTCCAAGGACCTCTCGGAAAGATATAGATAAGAATTTTACGACCATTGTGTGAAAACAAGGAAGATGGACCTCTGCCTGTGAGTTCGGTCGATTGATAAGGATTAACTATTAGAATCAGGCAGGTTTCCAGAACGCAGTAACACTATGTCAGAGAGAGGCAGAGACACCGCAAACAAACTACGGCAGAGGGACTGCTGAGATAGCAGAGTACCATCGCTTCACCTGATCTCACGTGACTTGCTGCCCTGAAGAAAAAGCCCCCCCCCCAACTTACAGAAATCTCATTTCAAAATTCTAATAACAGCGTGTCACTATAATTGGGAAGGTTCAATAGTTATTGCATGGAGAGTATAGTTCTGATTAAGCCACCAATAACTGTACCATTGTGGAATAATGTATTATTCCATCTACGACATTTTACGCGCGCGCGAGTTGCCTCTTAGCTGTCGACCGGACTGGATGGGCAACTCATTTATTCCGTGCCCTTAATCCATATGCGGGCCGGAATATCTTATTTTTTTACAATGTCGACTGCACCCTCTACCAAGACTTTTTCTCCTTTTGAAGCTGCCAACAGGTCGGACCTTTTTCTCCGTTTTCTACCAGAAGATGTTTTAGAGATACGCGACACTGTCGCGAGGAAAAGTTCGTATTCAACTAATGGCGTATTTTTATCCCTCGTCAGGGGCCTAATAAGTATAGGCAGGGATGTCCTACTGAACGAACAAATTGCTAATCACAGGTCAGGACCTTTTTCTCCGTTTTCTACCAGAAGACGTTTTTAGAGACACACGACACTGTCGTCGGCAGAAACTTCGTGTTCAACAGGTGACTTAAACTTACCCCTGGCTTCGAACCAAATAATACAGGCAGGGATAGTATTACCTCTGAACAAAAAACATTTTCGTCTTTCTCTTTGGGCTCGCCGTAAACCATTCTACAAGACCATGCTTCGTTTCTCCCGGCTAGATGCCCACAGCAGTCCAGAACATTTACCAGCGGTCAATTCAATGTTTCACCAAAAAAAAAACTCTGAGACGACCGGTCATTCTTTATAACTTTGAACCTGTACATTAAAAATATGCATAATCACTTACAACTTAAAATATCCACAGTGAGTACTCCTTTCTATCTGTGCGCACAGTCTTTTTCCGGAACTGTATAAAACTTTCTTTTCCCGCCTTTGGCCATCTTGTATTTCTATTTTGGCGCGGAACATTTTTCATTGATCCCGACCTTGGGATGAGTTACGTGTTACTGTTTGATTAAAGTTTACTCATGTTTTTATAAACAGATGTCTTTGGCATTTTTATTCCGGCTATCTTAATATATTTTATTTTATGCACTTGTTGATTGACCCCTTTCCTCTCACTGTTCATTCACGCACATATTTATTTTTTTTTTTACTTTGCTTGTAGACTCGGTAGTTTAGTGTGGTGTCTGGCACAAGGCCACTTAGTAATAAACCAGAACTGCACCCTACCGGGTCTGCAACACCATCAACTTTGTATTTATTTTCTTCTATCCAATTTATTTTTTTCTTTCGTATGACTTTACTCTAACCGGACTAAACCAAGTCATCGATTCCAGTTGACTATTTGGACCAAGGCAGTCTTGTGATCAATTAATCACAACGTGTGGAAAGACAGGACTTGGGCCAAAGCAATCAACTCTATGATCAGCCGAGGGGATCAAACTTTAATGTGGAGCGGCCGGGTTAGACGTCATTAATTAAAACAAGATAATGATTGATCTTCAACATTTTAAATGCAATGTCAAAGTTGACTGGAAAGCAAGAAGCAAAAAAAGAAAAAAAAAAGAGTTCTACAAGTGAGAAGTGAGGGAGAAGAAATTGTTAGCATAGAACTTCTGGTTACATTTAACCATTTCAACTGTAAAATGATAGGAACAAGATGCCAATATAGTATTGTACTTAAATTCATAATGTCTAGGTAGTATAGAAAAAAGTTTATCAGGGTTTGGGCAGGTGACCAAGGAGGAGAGGGCCCAACTGGAATTTCAGGGAAGGCGGAGGGCTTTCCACACTTATCAGGTAGTGATGGTGAAAGGCACTAACACAAGGCAGGAAGGAGATGGGTTTGAACAGGTGACCAAAAAAAGGCCCAGGTAGAATTCCAAGGAGGGAGGAGGGACTCCGCCATATTTAGACATTTGCAGGGAAAGACCTGATTGGTTGTTTGGGGAACACGGGCATTCCCAGAGCATGCCCCGCCCCAGCCCTTTCGCAGGGGTCCATGAAAACAGGACGCTGAGACACTACAGTGGAGAGAGACTTAAATACCTTGTTATAGAAGTCTCATTCCAAAATCAAAACAGTGTGTCACGATAATTGGGAAGGGTCAATAGTTATTGCATGGAAAATATAGTCCTGCTGAAGCCATCAATAACTGTAATATCAACTTTGTATCAAATAACTGTATATAAACATTTTTCTTCTATCCAATTTATTTTTTCTTTCATGTGACTTTACTCTAACTGAACCAAACCAAGTCATCGATTCCAGTCGACCATTCTGACCAAGTCAGTCTTACGATCAATTAATCACAACGTGGGGAAAGACAAGATTTGGGTTGATACAATCAATTCTACGATCAGCCGAGGGGATCTAACTTGAATATAGAGTGGCTGGAGTAGTTGACATATTTGGTTGCCGTAACCAGGATTGATCCTGAAGATATCATAATTGGTTGCCGTGGACCAGGATTGACCCTGAAGATATTATAATTGGTGCAGTTACACCAGGATAAGGATTAACTATTAGAATCAGGCAGGTTTCCAGAACGCAGTAACACTATGTCAGAGAGAGGCAGAGGCACCACAAACAAACACCCAGAAGTAACCACGACCAGTCCAATAGTGTTAAATAGAACCAACAGACTTTTGGTCAATTTTTTTTTTGACTACGGTACTATTGATCTCCATTAAAAAGAACAAAAACAACACAAAAACAAAAACACAGAAACTAATCTAGAAGCTTCAGGTGACTGTATAACAAGAAAACAGGTAGGAGTTTTTCCTTTTCGATTTGTTGCTGAAGTTTGCCAGAAGTGTTTTTACTTTCACCGATTCCAATTGTTAATTAATTTAGAATGAGTGATCACGAGATATCCGAAGAGGTAGAAGAGACCATGATGACTGGACACAGAATTCCGACTTTTGTGGAGAACCCAAGGGAACTAAAGGACTAGTTGGCGTCAATAGAGAAGGGTCAGCTCATATATGAGCTATCCGAAAGGGGACGCTCTACATAGTGTACAATATGGCAGAGGGAAACGTCTCATAGTTTATAGGGAGTTACTTGATGGGGGACCCTCAGTTAACATGGACAGACCTGGAGAGCCTGTTGATCAATGAATTTGCAGATTGGCATTGCAATTGAGGCAATGAGAAGCTTCATGAAGTTGATCAGGATGAAGGGCGAGTCTCCAGGAGATTTGGGAGTGAGGGCTGAAAAATTGTCCGCCTTAGCTTTCATCCAATAAATCAGAGACAATGACGCCATACAGGCCCAGTTAGTCGACCCGTATGTGGAAGCACTACATAATGAACGTATCAGGCCTGATGTAATAAAAGGGGCCCCGACCAAACTCTCAGAAGCTATTGCCTTAACAAAGGATATCCAGAGGATCTGGGAAAAGGTTAAGGGGAAGGGAGCAATGGCATAGAGCTGGAAGATAGGCAGGCAGATTGGGGGTAGGAAACACCTCCATTGGGATAGGAATGTGAAGTGGGAGGACTTCGAACCGGAAGAATGGGAAGAAGTTTCTAATAGAAGGGCCTGGATGCCGGGGCATGGATTTTATAAGTCCACACCTGGAAGCATGGGGCTAGTATGCTGGACCTGTCATTACGAAGGTCATAAGGCAGTTGACTGCCCAAGAAAATGGGGATTACTTTGGGACTACGACAAATTAAAATGTACAAGATGCGGTCATCGAGACCATAAAGTGAAATGATGTTAGATCAGGAAGGCGCCCGACCCCCAGACCACCAAGCGAACAGAATCAAGGACACCAGTGGGCCACCCTAAAAGTAGAAGAGAGTGTGGCCCAGTTAAAGAGGAATAGAGTGCGGTGTTGGACATGTGGCTGGGTTGGTCATTTATCCAAGAAATGCCCTGAGACGAGGTGATGGACCTGCAATGAACCAGGACACCTGAAAGGAAATTACCTCTAAAGAAGAAATAGGGAAGGATTTAGAAACATCTGCCAGGGGATACCACGAGGGAATAAGAGACAGCTGACCCCCCACTCCCACATGACTAACCTCTATGTCAGGTTTTCATCCATCCCCTCTTCGCGAGGCTTCTATATCGGTCCTCTTCGATCAAGGACACCGATGCCCCTGTATCAATCAGGGCCCTCATCGTTGACCCACCTACCACTGCCTTACAGGTCATTGGGTCAGCAGGGAGAACACCATAGCCATCCTCCTTCTGGAGCGATGTTCTTACGCCAATCCAAACGTGGGTTCCGGCAGCAGTAAACGACCACTGCCATGTTCAGAGCTGTGTGGCCCAGAATAGAACATAAGAAATGGGCCCCTCTGGAAGAGACACATATCCCAAATTTCCCCTTTGAAAAAGTTAGCATGGATGTGTCGGGACCATACGGGGAGACATCCAGGAGGAACGTGTATATAGTGAGTTTTGTAGACTGGCTAACAAATTGGCCTGAGGCATATGCCATGCCAAAAAAGAAAACTCAGACAGTGGCGGATTTAATATTGAACAAGATATTCCCTAGATATAGACCCCCTGTGCAACTCATTTCGGAAAATGAACCAGAAAAGGTAAATAGAATAATGGCTGAGACACTGGCAAGCCTGGATATAGCACACATAACCACTTCCTCATATAATTCCCAGAGTAATGCAAAAGTAGAAAGGTTTCATAGAACCTTGCGAGAAGTGTTGGCTAAGTTGGTGAAGGTTAACACAGAGAATTGGGACCTGTATTTAACATAGGCTTTGGAAACCGTAAGGTTTACAATAAAGGAAACCTCTAAGTTCTCGCAGGACTATATGCTGTACGAGTGAGATGTGGTCTTGCCTGTAGATAATTTAAGACCCCGTAGGTGGTACATGGGAGAAGACCACCACCAATTAATAATTGAGCAGCAGCATAAGTTGTTTACCCAAGCTAAGAGAAGGATAAAAAGAGTACAAAAGAAGACAAATGAGAGAGTGAATAGATGGAGAAAGGAGGTAGAGCTAACTTCTATAAAATTCACCTGGGGGGAGGAAAACTAGACCAGAGGTGGAAACCCTATTTATAGAATAGTGGAACAGACGGGTCCAGTGTCATTTGGGCTCTGGGATTAGATGGCAGAACGAGTTAAGAGGGTTCATGCTAATGATCTAAAATTAGCCGAAATAGCTGATTGGGAAGGAACTGAATCATGGGACAAGGAATCACAGAAAAGGAAAGCAACCCTTGCGGAGCCAGAAGAGATGGAGACGGACGAAAACTCTGAAGAGGATGAAAGAGGATGAAGCAACCAGCACATAGAAATCAGTGACGATGCATCGGGTAAAGTGGCCCATTCATCCCCATTGTTAAAAGGTCCTCTGGACATCCCTGGCTCAGGCTGTCGGTGTTGCAAAACTATGACAAAGACGAGAGACCCGAGTGGTGAGGTCCAGGAGTTGGTCTTCGGAAAATGAGGAAGGGGATGAGTGGGAGGAAGATGAAAAGGTACCTCTGTCCCAACTCCAAAAATGATTAAGAGGAGAAGAAGATGGGCCAGAATTAACCCTTAAACAGAGACTGAGAGACGTGGGAAACCCAGAATCTCAATAAAAGGAACAATGGCATGAAGGGATTTGGCGTCGGAGCGCAATGACATCAGATCCATAAAAGGTCCATTGATTAACTAACAGTAGGGATTGGTTGAAGGGGATGAAGGTATGGATAGCGCTCCACCGAGGACGGAAGAAATTACTTATTGGTGCTGGCATTGGATTGAACATGGGCCTATGTGTGTCCAGCGGTGGTATCGGTGAGATCGGACCCTGGGGCGGAAAACACCGCGTGTCTGTCTAAAACCAATCAATCCACTAAAAATTAGTAATGTGGGTAATCTCGTTGTCATTACAGGAATGCCCGGTTCGGATTGGTACTGCTACTGGTGATGATGATGATGATGATAGATGCCTGGAGACACAGCCAAAATACGATTTTCATGAAAACGAGTGAATTGATAATAACTAGATCAAAATGGCTGGTCACTTTTGTAATAGACTTAAACCCCTACGAGTTGCTATTAGACAAAATGGAGGATGAATTGGCTAAACTGGGTGTGGCAAGAAACAGGGTAATCCAGAAATATATCAGGGAAGAGAAATATGTTAGATTACTGGATTCCATGTAGCTGGAAACAGTCGTATTGGATGCGCAGTGGAGGGGTATGAAGGATTATCTGAAGTGGATGGAGCTGTTACAAAATAGGAAGAAGAGAGCGGGAAAAGTACTGACTTGCTCGGAACAGTGACCGACGACAATATCGAACATATAAGAAAGAAACTGGGAGAGGTAGAAAGGATCAGTTGGTCTTAGCCCAGGGGGGCAAGAAAAGGTGTATCGATAGTGAATATGAAAAGAGTAGAACTAACGAAAAATAGAGTAAATATCAATCAGATGATAAGCAGTTTGCGAGAGTTGAGGCAGGAAATATATAATAACTCGAGAACTGTGGCAACGAATTTCAGGCACTGAGTGGCTTTGTACAGCAATACTTCCAATAAGGATTGTTAACAAGGTACTACAAAGTAGTCAGTCCCTCACGATTTTGTTAGAGCATTTGCTCAGTTGGATATGTTGTCATTAGGACAACTGCCCCAAAGCATAGTGGCCTCTGGTCACTTGAAAGAATTGTTATTAAAGGTACAGGCTGAGTTTCCCCATCATTTGATGTTGCTAGTGGAATTTGGGAAATACTAGGTTATGTTACCTTGTTAGAAGTTAAGGGGTTGTTGGTCTTGATGTCAATTCCGCTGCTGGACCGGGAAAGCATATTTGAAGTATATCAAGTAGTTAATTTACCCATCCCCTACCTACAAGCGGTGCAGGGATTAGAGACGGCGGCTAAGTATCGAGTCGTATATGTATATGCCAATGAACTCAGCTATGACGAAATTTATGATATTGGCAGCCGAAGAGGCGAGGAAGTGTCAGCAGGACGCATTGGGCACGTGTACATCATTAA